GGTTCAGACAGTAAAACTTGGCCTGCTACAAGGTAGCTCGCTCTGCCTACTCAAAATGTCAAATACACCCCGCGTCTGGGGATCATCAAAATCACTCCCATCCTCCAGTCGGTGCTGACGGCAGGAACTTGTACGTGGATTTCTGAGCTTATTCCAAAGCTATTCAGGGCAACAGTTTCTATAGAGGAATCCAAAATCTGTACAGCACATGAGAACATGGGCAGGTGATTCTCATGCGTTTCACCAGCAAAGACTCCACTGATATTTTCTTTTGAACCTCATAATGACTTCAGTTTCTACTGAAAAAAATCCATTTTTCATAATATATGGCCTTTTCCATATTCTTACTTGTTAGGCAGATGCATCCTACTTTTATTTTTCTTCTAGGAAACATGATCCCTCCCTTGAATTGATTTAAAGGCAAGCCAGAAAGGCACTTGGAGTTTTAGCTAATCTTTATCTTATTGTGGATGATGGTGATGGTCATTGCTTTTTAAACAATATTAAAATTGATATACAAAATTGCTCACTTATGAATTAGTAAACATATATGATTGTAGTGTTAAAGTAAAAGAAGTGAGTTTAGAGAGAAATCTTCAGATCATCTAGAAGGAATACTGCTAAGGGGGATTAGAAAGAGAATTTGGCAGGCCAGGGATTTAGCTCAAAGGTTCAGCCAACTGCCTCACAAGCACAAGGTTTGGAGTTCGATCCCTGATATCAAAAACAAAACAAAACAAAAAAACAAAAAGGAAGAGAACTTGAAGACTGCCTGAAAACTTGAATGTGCTTTAAGAACATATATCCTTCAGGAATATTTTTCGCTTATTCTAATTGATTTGCACTTCATTCTCCTTCATTACTGGTCCAGAGAAGTTGAAAGATACAGAGGAGGTAGAAGCAATGGCTGAGAATCAGACTCGCTTCTAGCAGGATGTGAAATTCTAGTGAGCCTCTCTGTTCCCCCAAGTTTTGCTTCCATCTATAACTGAGAAAGTGGCATTGCACAATCCTGTGATCTCTAACCACCCTATAGGTTGTGCAGATGTTTTTTAACAGAACTTGCTCTGAGCCTCATTTTTCTAACCTATAAAAATGGGAGGAATCCTTACCTGACAAGGTGACTTGAAGGGCTAAAAGATAGTAATCAACTCAATAAAAAGTGAAAAACAAAGATAGTCATCAAGTGTCTCTTCCTGTCCATCTCTATTTGGTTCCTGAATTTAGTCAGCCAGAGTTCAGGGAGTGAGTTCTGTTAGTCAGGAGCATAGCACTGTTCGAATGCATTTGGATTCAGCATTTCATGTAGCAAGGGAATTTGTGATAGTGAGGATTTTACCGAATTTCTTCACTCCTGCATAGCTAGGGAAGTTCCTTACTTATAAGCAACTCTCCATAAAGATTAGCTCTAGTCTCCTCGACCTTGAAGGTAGACAGCCCGCTTGAGCTTTGCAATCGTAGCATCCGATGTGGTGACAAATAGAAAAACATGACCATGGATATTACTGGTCCTCAGATAAGTTGTGGGACGCTGCTCGATTTTGTGGGTAAAACGTTCTCAACAATTCGGATCCACAGTAGAGTTGTAAAAGGGCAAAAAGTCATTTTAAAAAGATAAAATTATGGCTCATATAGGTATAAAACAAATGGGCATTAAATATATATTTTTTCAGCTTTTATTGAGTTTATTGGTACAGTTTAGGGATACAGTACAGTTACTTTCATTGTTGGGATCTTGTACCTCTACATGACAGGTCTTGGTTCTCATTTTTTCCCCTTGTCCCTGCCCTCCCTTTTGCCCCTCCTTTTTGTAATTCATTTAGCAGTGAGAGAACAAGGAGCATTATAACCAGTTCAAAGAAAATTCCAGAACAGGGGAAACATTTGTAGATAAGAAAATATTAAAATGAATGTGCCAATGGAAAGAGACAAAACTAGTCTAGTGAGAAAGGAAGTTGATCTATAACTGAATAGAACACTTTGTCTACAGTGGAAAACTGTGTTACATTCTTTTCATTTGTTTCCCATCTCCAGAGTTGTAAATTGTGGAGGACCCTTTCACAGAATGAGAATCCGGTAAATACCTTGTACACATTTCCATGGGAGCAGCAATGTTTTGCTGCATGAGTAAATGAGGTGAAGCAATAAAATCACTGAAATCTTGGCAGCTGAAATGGACCTCCCATAAATGTCAAGTTATAAGAATGGTAGAATTGCAGTAGTAGTTTGATACTTACTAAACTGAACAGGAATCGGAGCTCAACAGTCCTTTAGTGTAATTCTAAAGTTTGGCATTTGTTTTCTCCCCTTCCCGCTCCTTCGCCTCCCTTCCTTTCTTTTTTCCCTTCTCTCCTCCTTCCCCATCATTTCTTCTTCTCTCACTGCCCCTTCCTTTCCTCCTCTTATTTTTTTAAACTCTAGAACCACAACGTTTCCTTTTCATCCACTGAGAAAGATCTAGAAATGGACGGAAAAGTGATGTATTTTCCCCTACAGTTTCATGCTATATTAAAAGATAATCCTACTACAACATAGAATGACAATATACAAAACCACGTCAAAGACCGAATGAACAGAACCTACTGTTCTGTTAATAATTTGGTAGCGAGAGGACACCTCTGCTATCACTTTTACTTAAGCAAAGGTCCAAAAATATCAGAAAGGAAAGGAAATTTTACATTGTAAACCCCTCGGGCTATTATTAATTGACCAATAGTCTACTAAGATGATATACTTAGAAAATGGGGAAACTTGCTAATTGGCACATTTGACAAATCTTAATTACAAGGTGACAAGCGAGCAGTTTAGGGATGGTTTGGGAAGAAGTCTTGTTCTGTGTAAAGAGAAGAGAATTCACTGTTGGTGGGTATTTCCAGGAACAAGAAAGGAGAGAGAGGGAGAGGGGATTGTGTCTATAGGCAACAATGTCTGACAATTAATTAAAAATAAAATAAAATAATAAAGCACTTACTATAAAAGTGTTAGATTTCAAACTAATAAAGTCTGGACTCATAGGAAATTATTTTATTGAATGTAGTTAAAAACTGTCCCATGACTCCAAAAGAGATGCAGTGAATTTTGAAGACCAAAACAAACATAAGGAGGAAAACAAAATTAAGTGATGGAAAAGAACAAATTTTCAACCAATTGAGTGCAGATCCAGTTGTCTTATTTTTCATTAGAGAGTCATAAATTGGACAGCATTCCATTTTTAAAAATAGAAAGGCGTTCTCTGGGGCATGGCGGAATAGTTGGTTTTGTGAGCCAGCTTTACCAGGCACAAGGATGGAACTTGAAACTACGAAGTAGATCACTTTGTGCAAGTTTGTTTCAGGCTACTTCCCTGGTACGGGCCAATTCAGAGGGGCGTCTCGTTATGACAATTCGGGCTCCCTAAGACTTTTTTAAAAAGTATCTACTGTGTCTCCTGTGGTTTCTGGAACACCTGGCCCTTTGGAAATTTTCCTCTTTTTAAAGTTTTTCTTCTGGGCATCTTCCCCTAATACTTACATATATCATACTTAAGTGACATACACATACCCATGTTTAGAGCAACATAATGAACACTAAATCATAGAAGAGGCCTATATGTCCATCAGTAGATGAATACATAAAGAAAGTATGGAGTCTTACTCTGCTATCAAGGAAGGCAAATTTAAGTCATTTGTAGGAAAATTATACTTTGGGAGTATACTGCTAAATAAAATTCATTGGACACTTAAGGTTAATATTGCAAGGTTTCTGTTATATTGGAAACCTAAAGTGTAAATAATTTACAGAGCAAAAGAAAAGATGGTAGGAAATAAGAAGTTAGGCTTTGTGGAGATCTGAAGAGGTTCTAAAGGACAGAAGGAGACAGGAAATAAGGGGAAAGGGGAAGAAAAGAAAGATGAAGATGTGGTGTGTATATGTACCCATTCCTCACAATGAATACATTTAATTAATTTATTTATTTATTCATTCATTTATTTTGGCTTTTTTGAGACAGGGTCTCACTGTGTAGTTGAGACCGACCCGGAGCTATGTAGACCAGGCTGGTCTCAAACTCACAGCTATCCTCCTGCCTCAGCCTCCCAAGTGCTGGGATTACAGGCATGCGCCACCATGCCTGGTGCAATACATTTTTTTATTAACTACAAACCTGTACTAATAAAAACTGATACATTTGCAGTTTGATAATGTAGTATCTGCCTTGACAGATTCCTTTTTGGTCTGATCTGCTGGGGATTGGTTTAGGAATTTAGTCTCAAACAATGGCCATCCCTGAACTTTATCCAGTAACTATTAAGAAATAAGGATATACTTATGATATGATATACTGTGACAGAAAACTTACTAATATTTCTTTCCTTGAAATCCACTGTAGTCCGAGGCACAGTTGACTATAGTGTTTGGGCATGGGCCAGATGCACTATGTGAAATTTTTTATATTAATTATTTTAACAAAACAAACACAGTCTATACTCTTCTCTCCTGTCTGAAGTAGGAAAGAAGCAGTGGGCCCCGTTCAAGTAGACTTAACGTTTTCTGTGCTGCCTAGAGTTCTTGCCATTTCAAAGATGATGATCTTCCAGACCAAAGATAAGAAGTGTTATGAATGCCTGTCATGGTGATTGAATAAAATAATACATGTAAAATCAACTTCTTTATCATCGGGCCCCTGGTAATTCTCAACATCAATGTCAAATTTTCTGGGAGATACACTTAATTTCTCTAATAAGCAGATTTTAATCAAATCTGTTATGTCCACTGGCAAATCAGTTTTTTTTTTATGCAGCTTTTAACATTCACTCAGATTTCTACTAGATGAGACTAAATACAAAACCATTACATCGTGAAGTATAGTTGTTCAAAAGAATTTGCCTCTATCACTCGCTATTATTATAGAAATAAAAATGGCCAAATTATTTTTAGTGAGTTATGGTCAATAAAATGATTCGTATTCACTGAGTGTTGTGTAATCTTCATTCTGCTTTTTATTCTGTTTTTTTTTTTAATAGGATTTCTTGTACAAGCAAGGATAACCTGTGTAGATTACCAAAATGGAAACATCCTGAAGCTGCTTTGAAATCCCAGTAAATTAAGTGGACTCAGATTTGACAGACAGGGAAACCGGTCCAAGGACAATTTGTGACGAGTAAGTGAGAAATCTAATTCACTCCATTAGAATATGTCAGAGATTTGTGGATGGTGGGGCTGCAGATCACACTTCCGGTAATTATAATGTCCCTTTGGTGCAGCTGACAGCTTCTCTCCCTTCCTATACATTCACATGCGGTGGCCGCATACGGCTAAATGCCTGCCTGGCTGTTTCATGGTGTTTACCTGGGCTCCGTCAGTGACAGCGGGGTGAAGCAAGGGGAAAGTGCACTCCTCATAAAACTGTCACTAGTACGATTTATGTGCAAAGGCGGAAGTCAAACTGTTCCTCCAACAGATGTTTCTATGCACTGCCCTGGGAGTTGAAAGAGTGGCACATTGGCTGCCCAGGATTGAGAATGAAAGAAGCTGACTAAAGGTGATCCCCACCCTCCCCGCCTCCTTGCCCCGTGTTTTTGAAACTGTGATACCAGTTGGGTTATTGATAGGAAACGAACTGTTTGGAGAAGGTGGCTGACAGTGTATTCACCCTTTGAAAAATTGCCAAGATTAGACCGCCTTCATATGACGACAGTATGAAAATAACTTCTGATGGGCTGTGGGAAAAGGGATAGTTGCTGGAAATCCCTGGTGGGGAAGAACAGAAAACCAAGTAACTCAGAGCAAATGGCAGTGTGTGAGCCGGGCATGTGTGGTAGCGTTCTATGTAGCTAAATGTTGTATGATCCAGAGTGAGAGTTACCTCGAGCCCAGGAATAGCAGTCATCAACTCCTATGAAATGCAAACAATATATTCGCTCATCTGCAGGGCTTCACGGTGTTGGGAGGAAAGAAAAAGATCAAATGACAGTGACATTAGGTCCCATTCATTGCCTGGGAGAAGTTTGTATTTGGCATTTTAACAGGCAAATATTTACTCGAAACATTCACGCTGTTTTAAAAGAGTGAATCAAAGTCTTACAACAAGTGAACTCGGGGCTCAGGGAGGAGGAGTTTGTGGCTTATGCAGCTTTGTGCGGATGTTTATATTTCTTGTAAGGGGTCTCTGTCCTGCATTTACAACTCAGGTTATCTTCCCAGAGGACAGGTACTGTTTCTTTCATCTACCCTACTGCCGTGTGCAGATTAAGCTAAACGGAAGATACTGTGTGTTACATGATCTCCAGGGAGACTTTTTGGCTTTGCAAATCCCATAGGCACAAAGACGGAGGAGTTGTCAAAGTGTGAAATGCTGTTATCTGATAAAGATGAGACACCTGGCACACCACAGAATGTGAACCAAAAACAGAGAAAAGGCCAGAGAACACAAGTAATAGTTCACTTTCTTCATCTTCAGGCATAACCCTTCAGTCTATCCAGAGGGGAGAGTGTTGCTTCTCTTAGGCTCTTTGGTTGATAGAGATGAATTAGTTGTCTTATTGGGCCAAGTAAAAAACAGAATAATTCTGGTAACACACACATGGACTGGAACTGAGACACAATTGGCAAGCAGGCCAGCAAGCAAGAAAGAACAAAGGCAGGGTTAGCCGCTTCATTATTTGTTTGTGTGGTTTTAATAAACAACAGAACTCTATGCTTCATTTGGAAGCACCTCTACTTCTCCCTGAATTTGATTTCTTCTTCCTCTTCTTCTCTGTCTTCTTCTTCCACTTCTTCTTTTAACTTCTGATTACTTTTCTTAGCTGTTTTATATTTGCTCCTGTTACTGATTTTCTTTGCCTATGAGCCGCTTCTCCTTGAATTAGCTTCCTGTGTGAGGTGGGTTCCATTCCGCAAACAGATGTCATACAGTGTATTTTAAAATAATAGCCTGAGAATTGCTAACCAATTACGATCAAATTGGAAAGGCAAAAGAGGATCCTGAGAAGAGTAGTAAGTAACTGCAGGGCATGGCTAATCTCACTGGGGAAACAAAAACAGATTTGGGATTATAGAAATTTAGAATACTGAAGAAGGTATTTGGCAGACTAGAATTCAGGCCTCTGTACCCTGGAGGCAGAGGGACTGTAGAAGGAAATTAATTGTTCACAGAGCTGGGAATTCTGTGTGTAAGGAGAAGCTGCCAGGCACCCTGAGACACCCTGAGTCTAAGATTTAGTATTTTGGGAAGCATATAGCATAGGTAACTTAATCACTCACCTGCTATAGGATGTCTCTGTTGTTTCCAGTTTGGACTTATGATGGAGACAATTTGTTACTAGCACTCATGTAGGTATTGTTTTACACACTTAACTTTTCATTTCCTGGGAAATACACTCACATATGGAATTTCTATGTCAAATGGTGGTTGCGTGCCTAGCTTTTCGAAATAAACCATCCTAAAGTTTGCCAAAGCACACAGTGTTTTCCTTTTCACATTCTGTCTGCAACGTCCACTTGTTGTAGTTTCTTGACACCGTTAATAGCATTTAGTGTTTGCACTATTTTTAGTCATGAAATAGCTCATTGTGGTTCTTGTTCTTGTGCCCTTAGCAGTTAATGTTTTGCATGTTTTCTTGTGCTCATTTGCCATCTGCATTCCTGTTTGGTAAAATGTCCATTCACACATTTTGCTCATTTTAAAATAGTATCTGGATACTTGTAGAGTAGCATTTTGAGATTTTTAAGAAATGTATTCTAGATACTAATTACTATTGTTCCCTGTAGTGAAAAAACTATTTTCTCCAATCTGCAAATTATCTTTTGAACACCTTATCAAGCCTCATACAGTAAAAGTTTTCATTTGATCATTTGGAACCAAAGTGTTACTGTTTAGTCTAAGAATTCTTTGCTTACTCCTAGACTCCAAAGATTATCGTGTATGAGTTTTCGCAAATCTCTCAACTTTTATGTCTTATGCTTATATAGGATGTATATTTAGAGTTAATTTTTACATAAGGCATGAAACTTAATTGAAAATTCATTTTATTGTCTGTGGTGTTAATTTGCTTTTCTTGCTGTTGGCCTCTGATGACTGCCTTTTTTCATTCCATTTGAAATCTCTCTGATTTTTTAATATAGCAAGTAATTCACCATTTACACTTAGACATTTTGGATGATATGCTATGAGAGTCTGGATCTCACTGAGACCTTCCATTTTCTTGACTACCTCTAGCCTTGCTCCAATAGGAAAAGTAGAGAGAGAATTAATGTCAAGTGTAATAACAGCCCCTGTTCCTTACTGGACCCCAGGTGAAATATCAATGAAGAAGTGCTCCTCATTACTCTGGGCACAAGCTCATTACTCTGGAGTTTTGCCTCCCAGACTCCCACTGACAGTGGCCTACCTTGGAGGCAGAGGAACAGCTGCTACCTGGTACCCAGGTACCGCTGACGTCATGGTGGGAAAGGGAGTTTCTTTATTGCTATTTCTGGTTTGCCTATCCTGGTACAATCCCAGAATACAGGGAGAAGGATGCTTTGTTATTGCTGAGTGGGGTAGTAGTCTTTCAGCCTCTGCTATCTTTAGTGATAATAGAAGTGGTGAATCAAGGTCTATCACTGCCTTGCAAGCATGAAATTCTGCGTTCCCACCTGATCATTTTCCGACACTTCCTTCAACAGAGAGTGGGAAGAATCTTGTCATAACCTGGTGAAGATAGAAACGTAGGTTCCTTCCCCACTAGGACTTTGCAGGCCTGGGTGGGGATAAGGTCACCATTTTTAAAAATTTTTGTGTGGCTAGGTGAAAGTAATAGCCTGAAACTGTTCCTTCTTGATAATTGTCTTTTCCCTGTTATTTTGCTAAAGAGTGAAACGCTGCTTCTCTCTTTCCCTCTCTTCTTGGTCTCTCTCCCTTTTTCTTTCTGTGTGTGTGTACACATGTGTGTACCTCTTGGGATTTTTATATTTCCAAGCAATGGAACTTCAAGATTGGCTCTCACCTAAGCAAAAGAGAAAAACTGGGAACTCACGGATGTGTCATTGTTTGGTTCTAGAGCTTCCTTGCTGGTCTTCCTTCCTTCCACCTTTCATGGTGTTCTTATCCATTTTAAAAATATAACTCCCGTGATTTTTCATTTTCTTAGTGGAACAAATAAAAGAAAGATTCTGTCCCTCTTCCTGAAAGGGGAAGTTCCTTGGAAGCGTCTTTGAAGATATTTTATGGGTTCATTTTTTATTGTAGAAATGTTAAAAACAGTAATCAAGTTAGAACCATAAAGCAATGAGAAAAGATGCTCTACTAAGTCATTTTTCTAGCACTTGGGTAGGAATACATGAAGATCCATCTGTAAGAAATAATTGCATCAAGGAGAGAGAGGGAGAGGAAACTGGTAGAGCTAGGACCAAATACCAGTCCTACCTGTCATACACAGCCAAAATAAAATAATTACAATAAATGAACAAACAAACAATCAAACAAAAAAACAGAAAGATACTGTGCCAAGATGATTTAGTATAGTTGTCCTTTGAGATTGTCATCAATATTCCCCTTAAACATAGGCTAAGAGGGCTCTGAATTGCATTAACTTACAGAATCTGTCAGGTTGGGGTAGTCACATGAATAATGGCTACCTAGTTACCTCAGGAAAAGCCTTTATCCAGAAATGTGAAGAGCCTCTAGCTGAAAGAGCTGCATGGGTAGACTCCCCAGTACCTTCTTCCTGGAATAGAGGATGCCAGAGGCTTAGGTAAAACAGCCAGAGTCCCGATGGAAGGCAGCAACATGAAGCCTGCTGTAAGAACCCATGGTTACTGCAAGGCCTGGGCAGAGCTGTGCTCATCAGAGGCAAGAGGAGGAGCAATCTTCTGGCCAAAATTACGAACTCCAAGAAGGCTTCAGCTTTGACTCTGTGTGTTTCATAAGGCAGAATAGACTTCCAGAGCTTTCAAAATAATGGATACTCATGGGATTAATTTTTGAAAAAAACGATTCTTGGTTTTTGTTGGTTTCGTTCTGAAACACTTGATCTTTGGATTGAAAACTTTCCACGAGTTTCTTCTACTGCTGCATAATAAATGCAATGAAGTTTGAGTGAGATGAGTTCTATTTTATATTTAAATTGATATTCATAAGAAATTTGTAGTTAAGGAATCAGAATAAAGATAGAGCAGACT